TCTGTGTGTGCGTGTGTCTGTTTTTCCTTTTTTTATTTGCTTTTATGTTTTTTTTTTTTAAATACATGAAGTAAAAAAATAAAAATAAAAAAATGTTGTTGTACATCTTTGAAATGTCTATAACCCTATATTTTTTGCTTGTTTTTCTGGTTTTTTTTTTTCAGCCCTAAAAATATCTCTGCAATTAGACTCGGTTTCATTCACACTTCACACGCATGCAAACAGGTTGCGCAGCAAACTGGCGACAAGCGCCCACTCAGAACTCAGATATATGGTAGCCAAGAACGCAGTTCGGATACAAGTTCACTTCAAATGGCTATGGCGGCACAGCGCCTGTACAACTCTCTGTTCGTCACTCACTCAACACTGCTGTTCACACACAGGATCACCCTGGATATCCCACACACGACACTCTGAACACACATACACACACACACGCTACACTCTCCTAACAGCTATGGCGGCTATGGCCGCTGCTACCCTATCGCTATGGCTAAGCTCCTTCTCTCACCCACTTCGTCTTCGGGCTCACTGCAGATCACCTCGCACAATTCGCTGTGGCAGCGCTTCCACATGGCTTACGCAGGAATGAATGAATAGCTGGGCGCTGCCTCTTGATTCATACTTCTGTATCTCGTTGGTCTGCCCCTTTCCCATGCCGGTGGTGCACACAGTCCCGTGCGGTACTTGCTTGACTCGACTAGGACTGACTGGGACTGGGACTGCTGACTCAGCACGGGTGGACTCCACCACTTGCCCACATGCCTCAGCCTAAACGTGAGCAACTTCGAAAGGCCACTACTAGGACCTTCCGGAAGGCGGTGGACTTGGCCTTTCGATACTGTAGCAGCTACGACCTTGACCCTTCAGGACTGTAGCAGCTACGATCTTGACCTTTCGGAGGAGCTACAGCTATGACTTCTAGACCTTGCTAAGACTCCTACCCGACAGGTCTACAGATCGAACCCCTACCCTACAACAGACTACCGACTGTTACAAATACACAGGTCACGGGTTCAACTCTCGGGGTCGACACAGATACTGTACACAGGTAAGGTGAGGACTAGGGCTCGAGCCCTGGGATCTGCATTGGCTACTGCGAACAGGTGAATACCGCCAAAAAAAAAAAAACTCATTTCATCAGATTCATCTGTTTTTTTTTTTTTTT